TGTGCTGTTTGGTGACATGGTGTGGACCACACTGAACATGGACCAGAGGAAGTGAAGGAGAGAGTTGTCTCAGGAGGTTAGAAAGAAAATGATAGAGCAGCATGTTGAAGGTAAAGGCTGTAAGACCATGTCCAAGCAGCTGATGTTCCTGTGACTACAGCTGCACATATTATCCAGAAGTTTAAGATCCATGGGACTGTAGCCGACCTCCCTGGACGTGGCCGCAGGAGCAACATTGATGACAAATGGAAGAGACGGATAATACGAACGGTACCAAAAGAGCCCAGAACAACCTGATTGCACTTGATTGGAGTGATCGCCTCAAAAGGTTGTGCAACAAAATATTAAGTTAAGAGGACCATCATTTTGTCCAGGCCTGTTTCATGAGTTTATTTTTTTAAATCATTCTGTTGAACCATGGTTCAAAAGCAATATCTGATTTTCATTGATTCATTTTCATAGAATTTTTATTTATTATTACTTTTGTCAGATTCAAGTTATTTCTGTGACCCTTGTGGGTTTTTCTTTCATTAACTGAGGGGTACCAACTATTTTGTCCACGTGTGTATGTCTGACAAATCCCTGGTTAACCCCAGACTTTTGACAAAATAGTCCTTTAACACATGAATACGTCCTCATTGGTTTTATATATTTATATTAATAAATGAGAAAGTAATTACACATTAGAACTTGCTAAACTGTACCAGTATGGCTTGTGTCTGCCTGTTGAATAAGAACATGATTATGTTCCAGCTGAGGTTGTTGCACTTGATTAAGTCTAACAATATTGACATCATTCTTCTGTGTGCCAGTGGTTATTTATTTATTTATTTTTGCACTAAGAAACCTACAGTGAGTTATTAATATTGTTTTAATTGATTTGTAAGCTGATGTCACTAGGAACAATCAACATTTTTCACACTGATGGAAGAAACGCTGCTTCTTTAACAGTCACCACTTTGTCACCGTCTGTCTGAGTCCAGCACAGAAAAACAGCTTTCACATTCTTATTCTTGCCTGTTTGGCCTGTTTTACTTGCTAAAAAAAAAAGCAGAGAAGATGTGAGTTTACATCCTGACTCTGGCACAGAGCTAATGATTAGAGATGACTTTTATCAACTGATATTATTTACAAGAAAACCCAAGAAATCAATCTGTGGTTTATGGTAGGACATGAATCATAATAAAGGCTGTAGAAGAGCACTTTAATTAAAAAGATTAATAGACAGTGACTGCTAAAACTGTATTTGGTAATCTCAGTATTTACGCAAGGAAATCAGGTAAATCATACGAGGTGTGTCAGAAAAGTTCCAGGACTGGTGTCACAAAAGATATATTTCAAACTACAAACTACCAGTTTTCTCCTTCAAAGTAATCCCCCTGGAGTCTAACACACTTCCCAGCCTTCCCTTCACGCCGCCATGCACTCCTGGAAGGATTCTTCCAGGATCCTCCTCAGCTCCGTCATCACAGCCATCTTGATGTCATCCACGTCTTCTAAACAGGTCCCCTTGATGACCCCTTGAGCTTGAGGAAGAGGAAACAACCCCACAGAGCCAGGTGGGGTGAGTAGGGAGGTTGCTCCAGCACGGCCATGCTCTTCTGAGTCAGGAACTGTGGGATGCTCAGGACGTTGTGAGCAGGTTGTCATGGTGAAGCAGCCACCACTGGTCCTGACACAACTCTGCCTCTTCTGGTGCACTGAATGAAGCAAACGCTGCAGGATCTCTTTGTAGACGTGCTGGTTGATCGTCTGAAGGGAAAACTCCTAGTTTCTAATTTGAAATATATCTTATGTGACACCGGTCCTGGAACTTTTCTGACACACCTGGTATGTGTTCAGCTTGACACAGAAAGCCTCAGTGAGAGCTCCAGGTAGATTTCCTCTTTTCTGTGATACAAGGTGACAGTAGTAGAATTACAGAACGACAAATATTCACAGTTGAATTCACATTTTTCAGGAGGGCCACACGTCCACCATACAGACCCTGCTGGAGTTGGGGGCAGATCTTCATGTTCGGGACAAAAAGGGAAGAACTGGTAAGCTGTGTCATAATCCATGATGTGTTGTTTTGTTTTTTTAAAGATTTTAACTTACAGCCCCTGAATCTGAAGCGTTTTTTTTCTACAACATTAAATAATAATGTCTAAATAAGCATCAATTTAAAAAACACACACACACATTTTGAAAACTGTTCTCTGAAGAGATACAAACCCCAAACTGCCCCTGGTTCTTCAGGACTGTGTGGGCGTGGACACGACAGATTTTCTTTTTCATATTTTAGTCTGTTTTTTAGAACTTGCACAAACATGTGAGCATGACTGTGAACAAATAGTCACACTTACTGTATTATTATTAAATGTAAGTGGTGATGGTGCTGTGTTCATATGTTGAACTTCACCTGTAAACCAAATGATTCAATGAAACTGCTGCTCTTATTCAAATGCTGTGTTGTCCTAAAACAAGCCAACAAGAAAAATGAAGCAGAAATAGATGAATACAGTGAAAGAGATGATGTGATTGGACGACAAGAGTTGGCCTTTTCATTTGCACGAGATGATAAAACACAATCAGTGATGGTTCTCTTCATGTTGCATCAATGAATGAGCACTCTGCTCTTCTCTCCTCTCAGCTCTTCACATGTCTTGCATCGGGCAGCATGCAGCAGCAGCCAGGACGCTCCTGCTGCTCGGCCTCAAAGACTCCGAGGACGCATCCGGCACGACAGCACGGCAGCTCGCCAGCAGACCAGACGTAGTGAAGGTGTTTGAATGTGACGCATTGTAAAGCAGCAAGCTGTCAATCCAAACACACACTTTTAGTTGGTTTTAGTAACCGATTTAAGTAAAGAAAAGAAGCTGAAACACTTCACTTGATGCCAGTTAATCAGCTCTGGTTGTGTTGGTTACGATAAGTCTTGGTCAATTGTGGTTTGGCATCTTTTTTGTTTGGGTGAAGCTGTGCAGTGAGGTCGGGGTAACACACGATCAGACACGCTGAAGTTAAGCTCAGCTGCTTTTGTCTGATCGTATTCTGACATCATCGTAAACCCTCCAGCCTGCCGGGACAGTTCCTCACAGGTCTGACACAAAACAAAAACAAAGCTCTTATTCTTTGCAAACCTCAGGTTGTTCTGTCGTCTCGTTAGCTGGATGATGTGTACGGCTTTGCATCAAAGTACAGAAACGAGCGTAAGGGTACATATTAAATACGTATTTGTTAAAAAACATTAGCTTTGTCTTGCACTTCAGGAGGTTATTGAGTTTTTGGCTCCCAGAAAAGACATATTCATGTTTTTAAAAAGCCTGTACGGCAGCTCTGTTTAGTTTGCTGGCTGCCTGTGGCCTCACACCAGACATGCGTGACTGACAGAAGACTGTTGTTTATCACTGGGTTTGTTCAACAGGTGTGTCCACCATGAAACTATTTCACAGCACAAGTAATGAAGGCAGGCTGTTGCATCATTACTCCTCCTGAGATATGATGACGTGTCCCTAACAAAATAGTGTTTTTTTATAATTACTATTATTTTTAAAGATAACTAGTTTCAGTGAATGGTAGTGACTGTTTATTGAGTATGCAGAAATGGAGGTAAGACACTGGAGAGAACGCTCACATGTTTTCCCTCCAACACTTAGTGATTAATTACAGACTATGTGCTCCTAACTTGCTTGTTCTGAGTTTGAAGAAATGCAATAAACCTGCTGTGCTGTCAGAAGCTTGTACAGGATGTAGTGACGATGTGAGAACTTAATAAAAAGGTGTCATCATCTTTTCACATGTCAGTTTTGTCTCAGCTGTTTTATTGTTGGAATGATTTATTGACCACTGTCTTCTGATCGTCTCACAATCCTCTTCTTCTAATCATTAAGTGATATCATATTTTAAAACATTTTTTATTGTACATATTGAATTATCAGAAGACCTCGTTTCATTTCTTTAAGAAGATGCTGTAATTATTTATTCACTATGATAAAATTACATAAAATGAC